GACAGCCCGGGGCGGCGGGGGGAGGGGAGGAGAAAAAGTCGGAGGAAACTCGGAGCCCAGCAAACGAGCGACCCAAAGGTCGCCGCCTGCCTCGCGGGCGGGGACCAGAAACGTGTTCTCCGCAGATGGCCGCCGCGCCCCAGCAGATAACGCGGGGCACAGGGAGGGGGCGCCGGGACCTGGCAGAGGCGCAGTGACCCGCGCTCCCCACGCTGGCGTCCCGCCTCTGCTCCTGTCTTTGTTCTTAGGAAGGGACCGTTGGCATCCCGCGGGGCGTGGCGCGGGACGGCCTCCTCCGGGCCACCTGGAACTTCTCCACGCGGAGGCCTCTCTCTGGGGCGCGGGCGGGCGGCTGCTGCGGGGGGCACGCGGGGCGGGTGGCAGGGCCAGCGGCGGACCGACTGCCCGGAAAATGAAGCCTGATCCGTGGCGTGGAGCCGCTGGCCTGCGAGGGCTGCAGAAGCGTTTCCGGATTTTTCAGTCTTTCTTTGCTAAACGTCCTTCTTTATGCTGGAGGCTCCTGCACAGCAAACTATTTCTTCGTAGGAGTGTGTGTGTGTGTGCGCGCGCGCGCGCGCACCGGGAAACGGCCTCCCCAAGCCTTTCTGACTGATCCCTCCGCTAAGCCTGTGCTCATGCCTGGAAGAGCCCTACTGTGTGCTGAGCCCCAGAGAAGGGCCTCAGCAACGATTCTGATAGCCCAATATTTACCGTGTAAACAGGCAGATGGGACTCAGGGCCACAAGGGTGGGGGCAGCTGCAAAATTCTGAAACTCAGGGGCTTCAGGTGGCCCGTACCCCTGAGGGCCGGTCTGGTCTGCGTTTTGAATGTCCTGTCCGGTTTGGGTGGTGCTGGCCCACCTGGGGATGCACCTTGGGCTGCGGGCAAACAAGTGAATTTGCATTCTTGAGAAGAAAAAAACCCCCCCACGGCCTCGCTGTGCCTAGCAACCTCAAAACAGTTGCCGCGGTCAGGAAGCTGAAGCTGGTGTTGACAGGTGTTGGCGGCGAGGTGAGCATGGGGGCGCAGAGCGTGGGGTGCGGGGCACAAAACGGCCCCAAGCGGCAGGAAAGACGGAGCTTAACAGACCTGGAGGCCCCTCCTCCGGTCCTCCAGGGGCTGGGGACGGGAACAGCCTGTTCCCAGGGAGTCACCAGGAGGAGCCTTCGGTTTCTGGGCGGTGGCGTTCGGGAGACACTTCCTTACAGAAGGAGGGTTCCTCTCCGTTCTCGGTGCAAAAGCTCCTCGAGGCAGCCGACAGGTCGGGCGGCTGCTCACAGCACTGGCCTGTGCCAGGGCCCTGTGTTTGTTTACAGGGTTTTTTGACAGAGATTCCCGTGGGACCGCGAACGGGTGGGAGGAGGCGTCTCACGGGTGGAGACCAGGGCGCAGCTCAGCACCCGGGGTGCTCCGTGCTCGGGCCGTCCCCACCCACGAGGAATTCTCAGAACCCAGATGTGGAGGGTGGAAAGCGGTGGCTGCCGGCTGGCCCCGTGCGTGCCACACTCCTCCTCCGCTGACAACAGTCGCACCCAGACCCGCACGGCGCTGGCCGTGGGGGGCCCCCACGCCCGCATCACGAAGGCGGCTCTGTGCTGGGTCTGTGCTGTTTCAAAACTCCGGCGCCTACGTGAGCCCAGGTCTTCCGGCCGGCTCGAGGCCTCTGCCGTCCCCTGGGCCCCGCCGCCGCCTGCCAGACAAACGTGGGCCTGGCCTGCCATCTCAGCCCCGCTCTGGCCTCTTCCTCGCGGGCGCCTGCGCCTGGCGGCCTGGCGGGGCCGACCCCGCGCCGCCCCTCCCGTGTGATTGTCTCCGGCGAACGTCCCCGGCGGCTCTGCCTAGCTCAGTGCTTCTACAGTTGTTTTCCGTTGCATCTCGAGATAGTCAAATACTTGATTTTTCAGGGGGACGGCTTTCTTCATCGGGGTCACGTGCCGCTTGCTTACGGTCACTTAGGAAGCAAGGCAGCGTGTAGACGCGCTTTAACCGGGTGCACAGTGAGCCGGCATGTCGGCATTTCGTGGATGATCAACTTGATGTTTTTTTTGTTTTTTTCCAATGGATGTTTTTTTTGTTTTTTTCCAAAGGATGTTTTTTTTCTTCCGCCCCCGAAAAGACAAAGACTGAAGGCCCCCTGCCGGCTTGGGGCTCATTGCTGCTCAGGTTTTCCAGTCACGGTGGCCTGCCGTAGGGGAAGGCGTAACACGCCACTGTGACTGAGACACAGGATTGGAGGTGACACGGCCGTGTCCTTGGGGGCCGGTCATCAGTTAGCACCCTGGTTCCCGTCAAATTGTTCAGGCAACTAGATATTTGAGGGGTGACTGACAGGGCGTCCAGGCCTCGTGGAGACTGGATGGGACACATGCAAGCAGGTGACAGCTTCTTGCGTTCTTGTGTGTCTGGTGCTAGCAATGGGCTCTCTGTCCCAAGTGAATCTGTAGACGCTGCCTGGGCCGATTTTCGCCATTGCTCGGCCGTGTCTGCTTCCAGACGGATCTGCAGACGGCCTTCTAGGGCAGTGCTCTGCTTTGGGAAATATTTTCTGCAGACAGAGGGGGATTTTCCAAACCCCGGGGAACGACGTGCACACACAAAACCAGAACGCCGCGCGCATCCCAGGCAGCCTAGCGAGACGGAGCCCTCAGCCTTTTCTCGTGATGCACCTACGCGGATACAATGCACCGAGATTTCAGAGAAGCTGATGTAAAAAGCTTCCCGTAGCCAGAAAGAATTTCCGAAAGCAGACAGAGGGGAGGAGGGAGGGAACAGGGACGGAACAGGGACTTCTTCGGAACGGGGACTGTGGTTTTCGATTTCACGGTCACCCATACACGTCCCTGTAGGAAAAGGTCCCCTCGACCATCACGCACGTCCCCGTGGCAGTCACGCTGAGGACCGTCTCGGTCCAGCCTGGTCCTCCTGGGATCAGCGCCCGGCCGTGCAGGCCGCACGGACTGCGGGTCCCACCGGATGCCACCAGTCTGGTTTTGAACTTCGTATCAGTGTGGCAGACAGGGCCGGGGGAGCGCGCAAGACGGGGTGCTGTTGGTTTGTCCGTGCGCCCTCTGGGCTGAAGGGTGCTCACTGCGCTACGCAGCCGTTCGTAGCCACCTGGCCGATGGAACCGTCTGCGTCTCCAGCCAGCCCTGTGCGCGGCTCGTTCCTCTCGAATTTCCTGCTCTAATTTTCCACTGAGCTCTTCGTACCCCGGTTGAGGGTGAGCACCGATTGGGCGTGATTCGGCTTTGTGTCGGAATGACTCATCGTGGCCGCCGTCCGTCCCTCGGGGTGGCCTCGCTCGTCATGTTATTTTTAAAAAGCCCTTCAACAGGAAACCAGAGACTTCCTTTTTCCTTCTCTGAGAGTGAGAGGCAAGCCCTCCCACCAGGAGCTTTTCAAATGGCGGCTCGGGACCGACCGGGGGCTGCGAATTGACCGCAGGGTCAGCAGCGTGGAAGAGCAGACAAGGGAACAGATCGCAGTGTGAACACCACGGGGGCGGGGGGCTGCGCACGCGCCTCGCTCAGGAGGCTGCCGTGGGACGGACGTTCGTCCCTGTTCCCCCTGCGTAAAGTGAGCTGTGCTTTAAACGCATTTGTGCCCGGGGATGACCCCGCACAAATCCCCTGGACACCTCAACCCCCTTCGATCAGGTCGCTTTGTCCAGGCGGGCCGTTGGGGTAGAATCCCTCTGTTTTTGGAGACGTGCCTTCAAGTTGCAGGGGATCAGCGCCTTTTGAAAGAGCAAAGTAATTGCTCCAAGGCATGGTGGGTGCATCGCGGGACAATGTGGCCTGTATTCTGGTTCTGCTGGTCATGGCCAGGGCCTCTC